AGCGAGTGGTTTACATTAATTGTATTATATTGAGCTTAATTATGCAAAGCATTTCAGATATTGTATATGAGGAGAATGATTTATTATTACTAACAAGTGATTAAGTTAACTGTGGATGACCCAAAATGACATACAAACAGTTAAAATGTCAAGTGATCCTGGTTACCTCTTAAGTAATCAAAAATAAGTCAAACCTGCCTGGGTGGGAAATGGCCATGAACAAATATTGCTTAATGTATCATTGCACTATGCTGATATTTCTTCCTGGAACTACCCATTCTCGAGAGGCATGAACCACAGTTTTCATCTAGACATTTCACAGTCAGGAAGCACTTGTATACCCGAGTTTGTATTTTCTTAAACTAATAGTCCTCCTTTGTTCCTAAGGGAAAATGTTAGTACAGTGTATTTGATCATTTTACAGGTTATTGATGACTTGCCAGGGAACGGGTGAGGTTTGAACCCATGGCAAGCGAGTCTTGACTCCAGGTCATGGGTTTCGACACCCCCACCCATACCCTGGTTTGTTTACAGGTTTGTTTACAATCATATTATAATTTCAAAAGTTTATGATGACTTAATTTTAATAGTATATTTTTTTATTTACAGGTACTCTTAACTGCTAAGAACCTCAAGGACCTTAATACAGTGCGATCTTTGCTTCGCAAAGCTGGATTAGATTCGAGGTTGATGGAGTTCTTGCAGGCCAACAAACGAACTGATGAGAATTTCAAGAACCTGTTTCAGCAGAAAGGCCTTGAAGAGATACTTGGTATCTACAAGAATTTGGTGAGTCTTCAGACAGTCCTGAACTAAAATAAATTTGTTTTTGCATCGAAGCTTTTGTTTTTAAGCTGTCCATCTTCCACCAAGGGAGGGTGGAAGATGGACTTTTACTATCATTCACAATATCACTGTTGTGCCAAAGGCATGTAGATGCAACAGTTCACATGTCACTTTAAATAGCAGATTTCCCAAACCCTTCTTTTAGACTGCAGGCATTGTACTTCCCACCTCCAGAACTCGAGTCTGGCTAACCAGTTTCCCTGAATCCTTTCACAAAACATTACCCTGTTAACACTTAACAGCTTGTCTAGTCCCAAAAACCATTTGCCTCTATTCACTTCTATCTAACATGCTCACACATGCCTGCTGTATGTTCAAGCCCCTTTCACACAAAACCCTTTTACCCCCTTGTGGGCTCTCCCCCATCCTTTCTTAGGATGACCCCCTACCTCTGCACTACAGATTTACATACCATGAGATTCAGGAATATTTCCCTCGAGCGACATTCCTTGATGCCAGTGAGGGGCTTTTTTTTTTTTGTTTTTTAAATTGGATCTGCCCTTTACTTTCTTGAATCAAACCTGAACAGTGGCGTTGCTAGGGTTGGTGTCACCCGGGGCGGCATCTTTGGTGTCCCCCCCCATGAAATCCAAAGGCAGAGGGATGGGGGAGTAAACTCCAGTTATGTCACTACTGCATGCCCAGTGACTAATGCTTAGTCACTGAGGAAACACTCAAATGCCACGTTGAGTACAGGCAACAGATCCTACATTTATTCATTTTAACATTGCAAAGAAAAAAAAACTTGAAAAATAGAGAAACATTGCAATATAGAAAAACACTAGTTCTGATTTGACCTTAAGTACAAGTAATGTCTCAATGAATCTGATCTTAATGTTTCCTTGCCTTCAATCCTTCAAAATCATCTATCACATTATCAAAATGAATGATTTTCCCTAAATAAGCCTTTTTGTACTCTAACCATATTAAAGGCTATACTGAAATGAAGGATTAGTGTCTTACGTTGCTGCAGCACGTTTTTGGGCATTAGTGTCGCCTTTAGAGGGTCTATGGTGTCACCCAGGGTGGCCCCCCCCCCTTCCTCGCCATGACACCACTGAACCTGATTCGTTCCACAGGTCCTGCTTGACTTACATTTTATATATATTTAGGTAGTAGGTTGGTAGACAGCAACCACCCAGGTAGGTACTACCGTCCTGCCAATTGAGTGTAAAACGAAAGTCTGTAATTGTTTTACATGATGGTAGGATTGCTGGTGTCTTTTGTCGGTCTCATAAATATGCAAGATTACAGGTATGTCTTGCTACTTCTACTTACACTTAGGTCACACTACACATAGATGTACACGTTTATTTATACACACTCATCTGAGTTTTCTTTGATTTTATCTTAATAGTTCTTGGTCTTATTACTTTTCCTTTTATATCCATGGGGAAGTGGAATAAGAATCTTTCCTCCGTAAGCCATGCGTGTTGTAAAAGCCAACTAAAATGCCGGAACAATGGGCTAGTAACCCCTTTTCCTGTAAAGATTACTAAAAAGAATAAGAAGAAGAAAATTGTCAAAGTGGGAAGTCTGAATGTGCGTGGATGCTGTGCAAATGATAAGAAAGAGATGATTGTGGATATTATGAATGAGAAGAAGTTGGATGTCCTGGCTTTAAGTGAAATGAAGCTGAACGGGGTGGGAGAGTTTCAATGGAGAGGAATAAATGGGATTAGGTCAGGGGTTTCAAATAGTTAGAGCTAAAGGAGGAGTAGCAATAATGTTGAAGGATAAGCTATGGCAGGAAAAGAGGGACTATAAATGTATTAATTCAAGGATTATGTGGAGTAAAATAAAGATTGGATGTGAAAAGTGGGTTATAGTAAGTGTGTATGCACCTGGAGAAGAAAGAAGTGTAGAGGAGAGAGAGAGAGATTTTGGGAAATGTTGAGTGAATGCGTGGGGGTTTTGAATCAAGTGTGAGAGTAATGGTGGTTGGGGATATCAATCCTAAAGTGGGTAAAAATGTTATGGAGGAAGTAGTAGGTAAATTTGGGATGCCAGGGGTAAATGTAAACGGGGAGCCTTTAATTGAGCTATGTGTAGAAAGAAATTTGGTAATAAGTAATACATATTTTATGAAAAAGAGGATAAATAAATATACAAGGTATGATGTAGCACGTAATGAAAGTAGTTTGTTAGATTATGTATTGGTGGATAAAGGTTGATGGGTAGGCTCCAGGATGTACATGTTTATAGAGGGGCAACTGATATATCGGATCATTATTTAGTTGTAGCTACAGTTAGAGTAAGAGGTAGATAGGAAAAGAGGAAGATGGCAACAACAAGTAAGAGGGAGGTGAAAGTGTATAAACTAAGGGAGGAGGAAGTTCGGGTGAGATATAAGCGACTATTGGCAGAAAGGGTGGCTTGTGCAAAGATGAGTAGTGGGGGGGTATGAAGAGGGTTGGAATAGTTTTAAAAATGCAGTATTAGAATGTGGGGCAGAAGTTTGTGGTTATAGGAGGGTGGGGGCAGGAGGAAAGAGGGGAGACTGGTGGAATGATGAAGTAAAGGGTGTGATAAAAGAGAAAAAGGTAGCTTATGAGAGGTTTTTACAAAGCAGAAGTGTTATAAGAAGAGCAGAGTATATGGAGAGTAAAAGAAAGGTGAAGAGAGTGGTGAAAGAGTGCAAAAGGAGAGCAGATGATAGTGGGAGAGGCACTGTCAAGAAATTTTAATGAAAATAAGAAAAAAATTTGGAGCGAGTTAAACAAGTTAAGAAAGCCTATGGAAAGTATGGATTTGTCAGTTACAAACATAGTAGGGGAATTAGTAGATGGGGAAAGGGAGGTATTGGGTAGATGGCGAGAATATTTTGAGGAACTTTTATAATGTTGAGGAGAAAGGGAGGTGGTGATTTTCATGATGGCCAGGGAGGTATACCATCTTTTAGGTAGTGTAGAAGAGCAGGATTTTCGTGTGGTCGAAGTACGTGACGGCATTTACATAGAATGAAAGGGGGGGTTTTAAGCAGATGGGAACTGATGGGATCATGACAGAATGTTTTTAAATGCGGGGGGTGATATATTGTTGGAGTGGTTGGTACTTTTGTTTAATAGAATGTATGAAAGGGGAAGGTACCTAGGGTTTGGCAGAGAGCATGTATAGTCCCTTCATATAAAGGGAAAGGGGTCAAAAGAGATTGTAAAATTTATAGAGGTAATAGTTTATGAGGATACAGGAAAGTATTCGGTAGGGTTTATTATTGAAGAAATTAGAGGTAAGACCAGAATGTAGGATTTGCGGTATGAGCAGGAGGATTAGAGTGGTAGGGGAATGTGTAGATAAAGGTGTTTACATTGAGCATATATGTGAACAGTATTTAGATAAAGGTAGGGAAGTTTTTATTTGCATTTATGGATTTAAGAAAAGGCATGTGATAGTGGATAGAGGGAATGTGGCAGATGTGCAAGTATATGGAAATAGGTGGTAAAGTTTACTAAATGCTGTTAAGAGTTTTTGGGATAGTAATACCCCCCCCCCCCCATGAGGCTAAGGTTAGGTTGTTGTAGATAGAAGAGGGAAAAGGCTTACCCGGTTTTAAAATGTAGGTCTTAGACAGGGATGTGTAATGTCACCATGGGTGTTTATATATTTTTAGATTGGGTTGTAAATAGATGTAAATGTTGGGTTTGTTCGGGTAGGGGTGGGATTAAATTTGGGGAACAAATTCAAAATGGGTATTGACAGTTACTTTTGCTCATGTTACTGTGCTTATGGAGATTCTAAAAGAAAAAATTGCAAAGGTGGTTAGTGAATGAGTTTGGAATGTGTGTAAAAGGTGAAAGCTGAAAGTGAACTATAGAAAGAGTAAGGTGATGGGGGTGTCAATTGATTTAGATGAAGAAAAAATTGAGATATCAAATTGGAGAGGAAGTATGGAGAGTGAATGTTTTCCAGATACTTTGCGGAGTTTGAATTTCGGCGGATGGATTTATGAAGGATGAGGTTAATCTTTTAGAATTGATGAGGGAAAAAAAGGTGAGTGGTGGTGCGTTGAGGTATAGGTGGAGTCACAAAAACGTTATCTATGGAGGCAAAGAAGGGAATGTATGAAAGTATTGTAGTGGCCACACTTTTATATGGGTGTGAAGCTTGGGTGGTAATATGCTGCAGCGTGGAGACGTTTGGAGGCCAGTGGAGATGTCCTGTATAAGGGCAATGTGTGGTGTAAATATTATGCAGAAATTTCGGAGTTTGGAAATTTAGGAGAAGGTTGGGTGGAGTTAAATAAAAGTATTAGTCAGAGGGCAGAAGAGGGGTTGTTGAGGTGGGTTAGGTAATTTAGAGAGAATGGATCAAGTAGATATGAATGGAAGATATAAATCTATAGGGGAAAGGAAGGGCGGGGTAGGGGGTCGTCCTCGAAAGGGGTGCGAGTGAGGGGGGTAAAGGAGGTTTTGTGGGGCGAGGGGTCTTGGGTACTTCCAGCAAGCCGTGGTGAGCGTGTTAGATAGGAGTGAATGGAGACGAATGGTCACTTGGGACCTGGAAGATCTGTTGGAGTGTGAGCAGGGTAATATTTAGTGAAGGGGTTCAGGGAGAAACCGGAATATTTTCTATAGTCGGACTTGAGTCCTGGAAATGAAGTACAATGCTGCACTTTAAAGGAGGGTGTTTGATATTGGCAGTTTGGGGGTTTGTTGTGTAATCTTATAGTATTGCTTTAAACTGTTGTATTATGAGCACCTCTGCAAAAGCGTGATAATGTGGTGAGTGTGGTGAAAGTGTTGAATGATTGATAAAAGTATTTTCTTTTTGGGGATTTTCTTTTTTTTTTTTTTTTGGGTCACCCTGCCTCGGTGGGAGACGGCTGACTTGTTGAAAAATATATATATATATATATATAATGTATTTATATATATGTATTTATATATATATATATTTGTGTATATATATGTGTTTATATATGGTGTATATATCTGTATTTTTTT